GGAGGGAAGGAGGGAGAGAGGGAGGGAAGGAGGGAGGGAGGGAGAGAGAGAAGGAAGTGATCAACTCTTGGTTGATCAGTTGGTTGACTAGCAGTGCACTAAAATGATAGGAAGGGAGAAAAGAGGAATGCTACTTCCATCATACTGCTGTTGACACTGGCTAAACAAATGAAGTCAATAAAACATTACTTTTGGAGGAAGATGTTTGGAAGTTGGGGGAACACTAGTATGGAAGAATTCTTATATAGCCAGGATTTCCCAAAATGTATGACTTGAAAAACTTAAATTTTAGAGGTGTGATTTGCCAAGGCTTTACAATATTTTCCTTAATATGATCTGGAAGAATTTCACTAACATATTGATTTCCAAGGGTGTAATCGTACAGACATTTACTTCGGAATTAACCCTATTCAGCCTAGTGGAACGTGCTGTTAAGTGAACATGGTAACTTCATATGATAAATCCAGTAACCAAAAAATTTTTACACTGTTTCCTGTTTCTGCTAGTTGCCTTGTATTGATTGATTTTGAGTCAGTATATGTCATCAAGCTGGTGTCAACTCAAAGCAACCGCATAGATAGACCTTCTTCGGGATGACTTACAGAAATGCCTTCTCTTTATTTTCTTTCTTTTTTCCCCTTTGTATAGAGCACATTACATCTGAGAAGAGTCAAGATGCTGCTCCAAAGCCCATCTATGCTCATCATTTCAAATCTAATGATCAAAAGTCCTTCATTAATTCTCTGTATCGGAAGCCATCTGTCAAGTCATCCATCTCCCTTGTTAACATCCTAGAACTTGAAGAATTGTCATCTTCTGTAAGAAATTCAGTCTCCACTTCCATTTCTGATCCTTGGATACAGAGAAGTTTTTTCAGGTCACATAATTCTTCTGATCGCAGTGTTAATTTTTTGCATAAAACCTTATTTTCTTCCTCTCCTGCTGAATCATCAGAGTCAGACTGTTCTAGTCCAAGCCCTGTCATTTTCTTAGATGAAGAAGGGTATCAAAAAAGCTTGAAGGCAAAGCTTCAGCTCCCCAAAATCCCAGTAGGGAAAGATGGGATAGAAGATTCAGATTCTGAAGTCAGTGAATTTTTTGATAGTTTTGACCAGTTCGATGAACATGAACAAACTTCGGAAAATGGTTCTAAAGTTTCTAGGGATCCCATTGTAAGACACACATCACAGAAAAATGTTGTTTCTTTTAAGAAGTCATGCTCCACAACAACTTCAATGAATCCTCAAAAATTCAAATTTGACTGTCCTGTTCTTCCAGCCAATGTAAGGAAGCCAACTCCTCGCAAACCAGAATCTCCATATAACAATCTGTTGGATGTTCCAGATTCTCCCCGTCTAATAAAAAATTCAGCTGATGATAGCGGAGTCTTGTTCAGCCCTATCAGGTCTTCTGCATTCAGTCCATTAGGCAGTTGCTTTTCAACAGAATGCCTCTGTCGAATTAATCGAGATGCCTTTAACCAAAATCACAATCTTGTTTATCACACATACTCAGATTTTGCAAATAACATTTCCTTTGAAATTCTGGGTTCTGTTTGTAATTCCAGACCAACATCCTTATGTAGATGCACACAGGAAATGATTAACCACAGTAGGATTGTCCCAAAAGAAGAAAAAGATCAGACAGCAAAAATCAAAAGAGAAATGTCTAGAAAAGGACTTAATAAGAAAGATAAATCCAAACACAAGTCAGTGATGATTAAAGATCACATCCAGAAATTTGCTTCAGAGCTTGTTGAAAAGAGTTTTGGCAGTGCGTTTAAAGATCTTCAGAAAGGCGTTTCTTCATGTACTAATGCACTTTGTCACTTGGCTGCTAAATTGACTTCTTCAGTCTTTCAGATGGCTTTCTACGAGATTGGGAGGCAGCAGGCCTTTTCACTGAAGAAGAAAGCTATTAATGGTTTAGCAGGGTTTTTGGTGAGCGAAGCAGTAACAGGAGCTTTGAAAGAACTGTACTCTGTAAAGCAACAAATATTTACAAACACCGTTACAAAATTTGCAGCAAACCTTGCTGAGGAGCTGATATTTGAGGGGATAATGGAAGTTTGTCAGTTTTCACATCCATCAACTCCAACGGCATCTCATCACTGTTCCTTCCAGTACAATGATAACATTGTGTCGTCATATGCCAAAGACTTGTCTGAATCAGTTATTCAGGATGCTTTTATTGAGTTATCACAGGTTGATGTGACATTTACATCACAAGCTGCAATTAGCATTTCAATGGACAATGTAAAGTACGTAAGCCCGGAAAGGATGGTGGCGTTAACCCAGACATCCAGTACTTCTTCTGAGCTTTGTGATAAAGTGCCTGTAGCCTTGAATCCCATTTGGGAATTCAGAAAGGAACATACCATTAATAGAGCCTTGTTCTATACATCAGGCATTGCAAGTTCAATTCCAGTGCCCTTAGCTGGAAGCCTCCTTTCTCAGCATCAGATTTTATGGAACGAAGCAAAGGTAAAGAGTCACTTGGCAACAGATAGCAGGCTCACGTTCTACAAAGAATCCACAGAAGTATGTTATGCAGCAAAAAAGAATCAAAGTGAAATATCAGTTAGAAATATTTACCTGACAACAGATTTCACTCCAGATAATGAATGTAATCCACCCAACCATCCTGATGCCAATAAGATTTCAGAAATATCAAGCATCAGTAACTTTTCTGGAAAGATGGTAGATATGATCGTGTCTGAAGCATACGAAGCAGTAACTTCTTCCAAGGTTTCTAAAACTGCAGAGCAGTACACAGACATGCTAAAAACAAAGAAAACACCGTACTTGCAGTGCATTGGTGAAGACTCATGTAAGAATATGTTTGCTAATTATTTGGCAAAACGAATAATAAAGCAGTCTGTAGATCAAACGAAATCTGCATGTTCTGCTACGAGTGAGAAATTAGCATACTGTGTTGGGTTGGGAACTAATATAAGAAGCAATAAGAAGGAATTGCATAGTGCAGTAAAACAAGGAGAAAAAAAGAAGAATATTCCAGTTATTGTGGGGCAACAGCAGATGCCTCTAAACAATACATCTAAATTTCATGTCACTCCAGTTTATTCTAATAGATGCTTGCTGTTGGGATCCAAAGATTGTGTTCAGGAAAAAAAGAGCCAAGTGGCTTGCAGGCCATCTACATGTACATTCCCTCCATGCTCTGTGGTGTCATTTGTCAAACCTGCTGAACAATTTCCAGATGCAGAAGACTGTTCAGCAATACCTATTGGTAATTTACTTGAAAAACAGAGCACGTATAAAGCCGCAGGGTGTTCTTTGTTTGGTCATGAAATGCCTTTTTTGGATATAAATAATTCTTCGGTGGTCCCTAAGTGTGAAGATGCACTTCAGCTGGAAGATAAATTGAATGTCAGAGACAGAAATCTTGTCATACCAGAAACACCGCCATCAACACCTTTAATACCTTCGCAGGCGAGTTCTGAGTGGAACTTAAGGAAGTTAACAAAGAAACTTAAAGGTGAATTAGCAAAGGAGTTTGCACCTGCTACACCCCCTTCTACTCCTTATGTATCAGAAACAGATGGAATATATACTCATGGATGTGAAAACTTAGAAAAGGAAGAGTTTATGCTGAAATTAATGCGGTCTCTCTCAGAAGAAGTCGAAAACAATGAAGTTGAAGAACATTCTGAAACCTTGACAGAGCAAATTAAGCCATCAGGAGCAACAATAGATTATGCTGATCATCTTGCTACTCATATAATCTCTATGGCAACAGAAATGGCTGCTTCACATTTAGAAGATAAAGCTATTCAGACAGAGAATAATAAATACTTTCAAGTAAGTATGGAAAACAAAAGAAGAGGGTACACCACATTTGTTAATGTTCCAGAAAAAAACATACACTCATTGTGGCTTTATGCTGGTGAAATGGCTGGAAAAGTCATCAGAGAAGCTAAAAAAAGGGTAAAATCAAGACATTGTAAACTTCTGAGGCTTAGTCAAGTTAATTATGAGGGTGATTGCTTTCATCTTAAAAGAAATTATCATGAATATTGGTCAAAAGACAAAATACTGCCTTTGGCAGACCAGTGTTCTAGAGAACAAGACTGTTCTACTCTCCCTGTGCCCCTGAATTCAGAAGCTTCAGGTCTTAACTCCAAATATCCAAGCTGTGAAAGTGTAACTGATGAATATGCCGATCACATCATTCGGATTCTGAAGCAAGAAGGTGGTCACAGTGAGCTAATAATGGATAATTTTGCCAGTAGTCTTGCTTACAAATCTATAAAGTCTGGTATCCAGCAAGCAGTCAGGAAACTCCAAGTGAAGTACAGTAGAAAGAGAGCTCCTGAGACAAGCTCCAAGTTAAACAATAAGTTTGAACTGTTTGACTCAGCAAACCAGGACATGGACCTAAAGAAACAGAAAAACAGTATCATTCATCATCTTGTAAAGCAGCCCTGTAGGAACAAATGTCACTTACATGGAACTGAGAATACAAAATTACTAGATTTCTCAGAATCTCTTGCTTGTAGCATAACATCTGATGCCAGAAGGAAATTCACGTCTGCAACGAGCTTACCAAAATCTTTAACTGATTCTTGTTTGTACAAACGATCAAGGGTTGATAAAGTCACAGATTTTAAAACAACATTGACCAAAAGACTTTCTTCTTCCTGTTGCAAGCAGAAGTTGTATCACAGCACTGACAGTTTAACAGATTGTACCTACCAAGATAACATTTTACAAGCCATAGACCAATACGCTAAGAAGATAGTAGATGATACTTTAGAAGTGAGCTTAGAATCAGCTACTTTGCAAGCTCCTGAAGGCTGGACAAATGGAGAGAGATTAACCTATACAGAAAAACTGGCTCCATTTTCTATAGCTGCATGCAAATACTGCAGTATGAAAGAACATCATCACTGTGTTGGAAGTTCATCTCTGCAGCTGGCTGGACAAGAACTTCCTTCTAAAATTCGACAGGCTTCAGATGGGAGTGTAAATATCACTTTCCCTAAATCTCATGTGCTTCATTTGGATATTCCCAAAATTCATGTTGATATGGACGAGAAGGTAATATTTGCTGAAAACGTTGCTCCTACCACTTTTGACCGAGCAAGGAGACAGCTCAGTAACACCAGTTTGACTGCTGATAGTGGAATTGGTCAAGATGGAATCAGTTTTGCTGAAAGTCTTACTACAGAAATTATGACCTCCTGCATGACAAACATTGCTCCGGCTATCAACATAAGGTAACGTTGATTTTTTCTTGGAAAAATGGTTAAAATCTAATCCCAGTTCTGAAAAAGGTGAGCATTTTTTTCCGCATTAACTCCATTTCATATATAAAATGAAGGAGACAGAAGAGCCAAACATAGAGATTCAAAACAAAGACGCCCAATGTAATAGTATTGAAATAAAAAATAATTAGAAGTTTGCAATATTAGATTGGGTAATCTTTATGGGTTATGTTTGTAGAAGAAAATGAAAACAGAACTAGTAGATTTTGGGAGATAATTTCACTATTGTTTATGAATGATGTTTAATGCTATTTCTTTGACCCTGCTTCCAAATTCAAGATTAAATTATAAACTAAGCCTCAATTAGAAATGTTTTGATTTGTAGTTCAGCTATGGTAATAAAGTTGTGTTGGTGTTCTTATAAAAGGAGAACGTGACCTTTCTGGAAGAAAAGTGAGTGGGCTTGATAAATTTTCTGATACTTGTGCAAAATGGTTTTCTGACTGCAGCCAACTGGAGAACAAAATTCTGTTAGCTGATAAAAGGAAAATATGCCTTTATGTTTAAATTACCCTTATTAAACTACTACAGATGTTTATATGTGGAGCCTATTCATATCTCTCATGCAGCCTTTGTTCCTGGAGCACTTTGGGGCGGAGGGAGGCCCTTTGATGAACCAATCTTTCTTTTGATAATTCTTGCAAATCTCTAACCCCCTTCATTATATACAGATAGAGCCACAATGTAGTAACAGTTCATGCCATATGAGCCTAGAAAAGGCAGCCTTTTGAGAGAGATCAGATTAAACCCAGGATTTTTTCTCATTTAGAGATACTCTGAAAACCACCCTAATTTGAGCATCATTCTGTCTGCTCTTATTAAACTGATGAATTGAACATGATACTACTATATGTGGATCAAAATTATCCTGTGTTATGTGTATATATACAAGGAAAGTAGCTAGTTAAAGAATAAACAAACCTGTGCGTCTTCCAGCTGTTTCTTGGCGTTGAGGTATTGGAACCTCCCCTAACAGTAACAAATGATAATGAAATTTAGAAAACACTCTTTCAGCCCTCCCGAATTGGAATAGGGAGTTGCTTATTGTGCACCTGGTGGAATTTGCTCAGATCCACCAATTGTGTGTCATGCTTTATAAAAACGTTGTCAAGAGCTAACGTGACAGAACGGGAAGGGATCAGATAGGAGTGCAGGAACGCACAGCAGTTGCTGCCAAAGATCCTATAGAAGCAGTAGGATCTGTAGGAGAATTGGGGGAGAAACATGTGGTTCCCTCTGGCCATTGATAGAACAGATCTCACTTGCGGTCATTCCAAAGGAGGCGCTAATAATACATTGGTCAAAAGATACAAAATGTGTAATCTATATAAATACAAAGATGATCTGTTTGGGGTTAGCCAACCTTTTAGGGGCTTTGGGCCCGCCATCTTATCTGACTAGCTTAGACTTGCATGCATTATGGCTGGCAAAAATGTTTTTGCCAAGCAAATGTTCAGTGTGTGATCCTACCCATGCTGCCTCAGGTTTTAATTGTGTTGAATTAATTAGCATTTATTCCTTGTGTAGTATGGGATTGTAGTCTTAAAAGAATTTTTTTTAAAAAGTAAATTTTTAAAAAACCACTTAGATTGTAATTTTCAGATTTCCCCCTTTCTTTTTAATACAGGCTTTTCTTCAGAACCTTAGAGGTTTTTAGATGCCAGAATTTGTTTTTATAACTCAGAGTGCACAGTGAGATCAACACTTTTCAAATGTACAGTGATACCTCAGTTCACGAACTTAATTCGTTCCACGATTCTGGTTGAGAACCGAATTGATCGCGAACTGAATCAAATTTCCCCATAAGGTTCAATGTAAATAAGGTTAATCCGTTCTGACTCCTATGAATGTGGTCGCCAACCGAATCAAATTTTCCCCTAAGGTTCAATGTAAATAAGGTTAATCCATTCTGAGCCGTATGTATTTTTTTTTAAACCACAGAAATATGAAACAAAGTACAGTAC